ATGGACCTTTTAAAAACAATTAAAAGAGAAAATGTTTTTTAGTTTTTTTTCAGTGGAAAAAGTGATATAAACAAACACATGATGGTACAGCTGATCAAAAAATAACAAAAAAATTAATTGCCACATGATATTTTTATCTGGGTGAAAAAATGGGTGAACTACCTCAGGATTTGCAATGAACTAGATTTTGTCCCTTTAGTCCTTTGAGGATTGTTTTGAAGACAGTGAAAGTAATAGACTTATAGATTGGCTGCAAAGAGTAAGGGATGTTTACAGATAAACTCTGTTATGAGTCATTGACCTCATATTCCTCTGATGCAGTAAATACCAGCAAACAAAAGATATAGCCTGATTTCCTAGAAAATACCTGAAAAGTCCTTCCACCACAGCATCAACCTTCTCAGTTTGTGTGTCTAAACACTCCTTCCCTTTCCACTGCAAAATCAATCAAAGAGCAGAGAAAAAAACTGTTCTGAGCCAAAGCAACTTTCCAAAAAGTAAAAATAATGGAATTTAAGGAAAAAAACTTCCATGAAACTCACCTTGACCAGAAATCTTGCCCTTCAGGGGAAGGAGTGATGTGATAGTTTGGTTTGTGGGTGACAAGTGTTGTTTTCCTTTAGATCTTGCTCTAGTTCATATATTGCAATGAGTTCCTGTATTACAAAGTTTATTTTGAACCTATTTACTTCTCCTGAGTTGGTAGATGAATGGCTCTTAAAAACCACATGAATGAGCCTGGCATGCAGGGCACCAAACTGCTGTCATGGCATTGGTCAACAAGTCCAAGTTGCCCAACCTTCATGGGCTCATGAACAGTCACACCCATATGGGTCTGTCAGGGTCGGGGTTGTGTCCCTTTGTCTGAGTAGGGAGACACATGCCCATAAGCTCTTCTACATGCAGCAGGCACTTGCTCTTCTGTCCCAGGAGAAGTGAACAGTGCAGTGGACTGTACCACTCAGCCTATCTATCACATCTCTTTAAGGGCTGCCTTGCATTGGTTATGAACAAAATCACTCTGCCTTTCCATGTGGGACAGACTGTGCTCCTGAGGGAGTTTTTTATAAACCTAAAAGTGTACATTGCCTCTTCCTTTCCTAAGGAGACCCCTCCTGATGTGCTGTGTGACGGCTTGGTTGTGTTCCCTTTCTTAGCTCGGTATGGCTTGAGCAGATGGCTCAACTCACATGGCCACAGCAGTGTGAGAGCAGATCCTTTGAGAGGCACTTGTCAGGAAGAAAGAAAGAATGCACCTCTCCAGCTCGTTTCTGCCTTGGGTCTCATTATAACAAAACTAAGATTGCCAGTTGGACCAAAGTTGAGAACTCTACTTCTCTGGGAATAGGTCCAAGACTTCTGATCACCATGTGTGTGGGTCATTTTACCATCACATCATCAGGACAAGACAGAGTCCCCTTGGTCATGGTTGTACTCAGACCAGTGTGCTTCAGGTGAAAGGTTGTGGGTTTTGAAATTGGTTTGACAAAGTTCCCTGTTCTTATCACCTTCCTAATTAGTGGTTCTGTCTAGATCCCTCCTTCCCACAGTCAACTCTTCCACCTCCTTAACTGGCCAAAGCCAGCACCTGTCCTCACTTTTCCTAACAGGCTCGTTTTAATTCACAGTCCCGAAGTATCCCTTCCATCAGTTCAGGGTTAAGTTGCTGCATTTTCCAGGCAATAGATAAAAAAACTAGATTGACAAATGAGTTTAGCATATGACCATCATGCATCAGTTATTAAAAAAAAAAGAGTAACTGGAAGGTCCATCTACAGCTTGTTTGTCTTGCCCATATGGGAAACGGAATTTAAATTACCACATTGCTTTAGGAGCAGTTTGTAATACCAGTACAGTGAAGTCATGTGTTTTTCAGCGGTTGGAAACAGCAGATAATAAGAATTTCTGCGGTTAGTGTGATATCAAGTGTGATGGCAAGATACACTTTAAAGTATTCTTATTGTAGATGGAAATGTGCAGACACAGAAGCAGCAGTTCTACTTTCCTGGGAAAAGACAATGAAGAACTTCTAGCAGCTTGCTTGTGTTTGCAGCGTGTCTTCCCAGATACCTGCTGCTTGATTCATGTTCTTACCAAAAAGATGGAATAATTTCCCAGAGCCTGTAACAGGCTTACCTTTAAGAACAGTATGAGGTTTTCACTTGGTTTTTGGTTTTGGGGTTTTTTACAGTACTTTTCTGGCCTTTTTGATTTGAAAACTCCTAATTTTTTTCCAACTTACTGACATGCCTCCTAGTTTAAGGTCTCTGAACATGGGGGTTTCATGGACCACAATTTGAAAACTGTTGTATTGTGAGGCAGGACAATGCTATGTATTCATTTTGATTCAGAAATTGTTAATGGAATAATCCCATCTGAAATTTGTGTTTCCACACAGTAAGAGGGGACTGCAGCCAACATTTGCTGCACATCAGTAATTGATAGCAGTCACGTAAAGTTGAAGTGGAAACAAAAGGTAAGAATGGATATGGGGTCTCTGTCGTACTGTAAGCACTCTTTGGTGGTGGTGAGCAAGTGGAAAACTGTTTTAGCTGATAAGGCACTTGAGCTGAAATTTCCATTGAAGTGTTAGGGTTTAAACAAGAGAACACAGAGTTTGAGACTAGCTCTGTTCCTTCACTCCCATCTAATGTAGCAAAAGAAAGGTGCCATGCCTCAGACTGGTGAGCTAGGTAAGAAACCATAACTTTATTATTACTGTGATTTAAAAACAAAATTAATGATGCCTTTTTGTGCAGTGAAACTGTGCCTAGTGCAAAAGAAGCCCAAACCAACTGCATTCAGTTTGTCAGGGATTACAGATTAGGTTGCTTGGGTGAGAAGGAAGAGTTTGTTTTTTCTTCCCCACTGTGGACAGTTATTTTCAGCACGTGACTGACAATCCAAAGAACTAGGTTTCTTTGTTTTTTGTAAATGTGGTCTTGATATTACATAACTCTCTTAGCATTTAAGTTTTTGAAATTTAGAGAATTGATTTTAAGACTCCTAGAGCCTCAGCTTAGAGTCTCTGTTTTATGAGTTTCTACTGGCTTTGACCTTCAGGATATCTTTTTTAAATGGGTTTCCTAGAAGGAAAGGAAACTGGAAGGGATGAGAAATACAAATTTTCTTTGATAGCATTTACTTTTCCAAGTGGGAGTGATGATGCAAAGCTCTCAAGCAAAAGCAGAGAGGTTGGTGACAAGGAGCAGTTTAGGAATGTCTTTTCTCAGCCTCTGCCAAGGTATTTTATGGTGTTTGATGAGAGCTTTCCTGCTGTTGTTGAGATAATAAGCAGGAAAATCAGAATATGCAGAAGATGGCTTGAATTCCGGTGAATTGTTGTTTAGGTGTCAGATGCTATCAGATGTTAGATGTTAAAAGTATTGTATAGAAGTAAGCAGATAAATCAATTTTAATTGTTTTCATTAAAAAATATTAAAAGTCATAAATACTATAGGTCGCAAACAATGTAAGACAAAGCAAATAGAACAGTAATAGATACATGCCCACTTTATACTGTAAATCAAATATACGCTGTTATAGAGTAGAAATCCATTATTTTTAGGAAAGCTAATAAGTATTTCCAAAGAGATGTTGCATTGCTGAGGCTATTCTAGGCTAATAGGAAAAGTATTTGAATTGTTCAGCAACAACATCTTCTGTTCTTGTGTCATGACAGCAGATTTCTGAAATGTTACTGAGCCAAAGTCATTCTTAATTCCTATGATGAGTGACATAGTGAGTGAGAGCAATTATCCCCAAATTTAGCTGCTCTTTTATTCTCAAACTGATGTATATTTTCACAAAACAGTAACTGAATGGCTTCTAAACAATCAAACTTCAGTCTTACAAAACTACTTGCATGCTACTCTGTTCAGCTATGTGGCTCAGTATTTGTGGTGTGCAAGGAACTGCCTGTGCCTATTGTTTTTGCTCCCAGATTAAATCTCTGAAGGCTTTGGTAGTCTCTGTTGAAGTCATTGGGCTCTGAAAATACTCACAACCTTATTATGTTCATACTAAGTGCTAGAATTTTCAAAGGCCTACCCATCAAATATTGCAAATAACAGTAGCTAAAACTTTTTATTTTATAGAAACACTAGTGTAATTAGGAGACCATTCCATCCTCCAAATGTGCATCTGTTTGAGTAAAGGGTTACCAGAAATAAGTAACAAAGATATCAAGACAGTTGCTCAATAACCACAACCATTATTTTGCAATATTTATTGCGCTCTGCAGGAGTTTTCCTGGGATCAAAACTTGGATGGTTTTAGTAACAGTATTTTCAGTTGTGTCACATGGATTGTTTCATGTTATTAGAGCTGAATGCTGTAATTTACCGTTTCAGAATTGACAGTTATAAATTTTGCAGCAGTACATTTACATGCTGTATGTAACCTATAGCAAAATGCTGTGTAACTTGAATATTACCTTTATCTGTCATGAGTCCCTCTGGTATGTATCACTATCCAGGAAACGTCTTGACATCTTTCCTGTTTAATCTGATTGATTTTACATTATGCAAACAGGTGCATTATTTTCAAAACATATTCTTGAGTGTTTGGTGTAAACTGACCCCAGAGAAGCATATAGACAGTTGTCACTTAAGCCAGTTTTGTAGAAATTATGAAAAAGGATTTTTAAGATCACCTTCATGTGTTTAACCAAAACTCAGCCCATATAGTGCTCTGAGACACAAGAACAATCAGATGCTTTTACTCCTATAGCTAAAATATATGTGGGGTGTTTTTTCAACTGATTTGCATGTTTTTCCAGAAAAAACTGTTCTTTTTAAGCAGCAGGAAAGGAAAAGAACATGGGTAAAATATTTGGGGAGGAATGGGAAAGAACATTTAATATATTTAATCTTATTATACATTTTTCTACATTAAAGTCAACAGGCTGCAAATATATTTTGCTACAAAGCTTTGTGTAAGAAATATCTCTATAAGAAAATACATCTCATTAAACATTTCCTGTAAATAAATTATCCCAAATAACTATGTTCTGCAAGAGCAAAATAGGGATAGGCCAATGATAGAAAGAGCTAAAAATTTCTGAGACCCCGTTTCTGCAACCCCCCTGCTCAGACTGGGTTTCATTTTCTTTTATATGTAGTGAATATGAGAGCTCTAAAATTCCTCTGCTGAGTATGTGCTGTGTCAGTGTAAATAAAACTTGTAAAATTGGTTCCTGCACTTTTTTAGTATCTTGAAATTTCTGAGCCTTATTCCTGTTCCAGTTACATTGAAAAAACTCCAAAATAAGCAGAGTTGCAATGATAGGACTCCAAGATAAAGCTCTGACTGAGACTTAAAAAACAGAAGCCCCTGTCTCTGAACATCCCTCTAGGTCAATAAAAACTAACTCCAGTAGGGAAAGTGGTGTGTGAAATACTCTTCTTATTCAGACTCTTATGGAAGATAAGGGCAATGTAGCTGAGGTCTGTGTTCCAATTAGAAAGGTTGAATCTGGTGGTGTAGCTAAGCTATAGCTTTAAAGCATCCCACTGGTGCCAAAAGATATCAGGTAATGGTGACATGGTTTTTGAAGTTAAACTGCATACTGGTCTACCCATATTGTTCAGAACTGAATAAACAGAAAAGTCCGTTGTATTACAGAATATGAAAATGGATAATTATAAATGGATAATTACAACTTAGCGGTAGATCAATTACAGATTCAGGCTTCTTTAAAATAATATTGTTCTCTTAAGTCTATACAAAGGAATACTTGCAAATAAGTAAAACTAAAAAGCTTTGAAAAGACCTGGGAGACAAGGCAAGGGACAGAGGCTGTCATTTTTTAAGCAGTACACAAACAATATAGGGTTGGCAGCTGTTTCTACAGTCTTTGTACTTCCATCATTCCTGGCAGAACACTCCAGAATGAGAGGACATCAAGTTCAGGCTGAATACATGCTGGAGGCTGGTATGCTGTGACATCACATGATGTTTAGCAAGTCATTTGTGATCATACCTTCTTCTTACTTCCTTTTCTGCAGGAGAGGAGATGTTCACAAGACCCAGCGCCATTTTCTTTGCTGTCTCTAAGAACAAATCCATTATACTGCTGCAGAGTGCCATCAGTAGCCTGTTGCTACTAATAAAATGTAAAAATTTGAGTTTGTAGCAGTATGCTCTGAACACCTCAGCAAATGTCTGTATCATCTATTATAACAGCAAAAAGAAAGAACTTCATAGCTCTTCATGTTAGGCACTTCAACACTGCTATTTCCTTTGGAAATGTCTATAATGCAAGAATGCTTAGGCAAGGAAAGTATATTTAGGACTAATGAGGAACTGCCTATATATAATTCTGGATTCAGCATGCACACATATTATCTTCATCTGTTCAACACAACGTGTATTAGCAGTAAACTGAGGCAAATACAAGTGATTAAGTGTCATACTATGACATTGAACTACATAAAGAGTTTCAATTTACCCATGTATAGGAAACAAAACCCCATTTAAATGCCTCCTCTTAGAGAAACTGCTACTTTCTTGAAATTTTGAGATGGCAAGTTTTTACCTCCTTCATAAGGGCATGCAAAACATAGCACTCTTGTCCTGCAGGAGTGCTTTCTCCGCTGAAGTGACAGCCCTGAATGACAAGGGCATGTGGACATTCACAGTAACTTTATTTCAATTTCTTACACCTGCAATGTGCCTAATCACGTGTTGATGGATGAGTCTTCCTGGCATACACTGCTTCCTATGGAGTACAATGCATACAATTCATTTAGCAGTCATTACCACACTGGAAACCCACTCTAGCCCTAACACTGAACCCCTGAAACATCACAGGACAATACAGCAAGGTAAGTGACATTCGTTTCCACTCTACTTGTTTGCATACTAGCATTTCCCACAAACTGTAGAAGTTATTTACAGAAGAACTGGACAGGAGATGAAATCCAGCTACACTTGCGTCTACCACCAGCTCAAAAAGAAATGCATTTGCTGTGACTTTTACTCTTATTCTACTTTAGCCATTCCTCTTCCATTTGCAGTCCTCTTTTTCCACCATGCCATAATGCATTAAACACATAAAGCCACAATCACTTATTACTGTCTTCCCAATCCTCATTCAGATTTTCTGGCACACATGAAGTCTTGATTTAGAAGAGGAGGTCGCATCTTTCCATACTTTACATGACAGCCCCTTGGCACAGTCACATCGTTGGAAAATCTCCAGTCCATGGGACCCTTTCTTGCGCTGTTTGGTGCACACCTCCCCCTGATGCAACACAGGCTTGCAAATTTTGGTCCAGAAATGGCGAGCACAGCAATGTCCCTCTATGCAGTCTGATGACCGTAGGCAGGGATCGCCTTCATGTCCTAAACAGAGCAACCAAACCATTTTACTATTTCACGGGAAAAGAAGAAAGTACAGATGGAGTGCAGACTGATGCAAATGAAACTCAGAAAAAGGAGAGGTGGCTTTTCCATTTGTGGCTATTTGAAGGATCTAAGCACAAGAGAGATATTAATTAGGAAGGTTCCAGGGAGGAACTACTGAGACCTAGTAAGGAGAAATTCAGCTATGGGATTGTAAGCAGAACTACAAGTGTTCAATTACATGGCTGTCGCAAGAGGACGATGTGTGCAGTCTTGCGCAACTGATAAAATGGATTGTCAGTCCACATCTGATACAGAGAAGAAAGCAGATGCTGTTTCGATCACAGGAACTTTGGTTGACATTACATCACTTTCTGAGTCATGCTGTGAATTCTGACAACAGACATTCACTCCCTGTGAAATTACTGCTTATTTCTGGTTTACATTGCTGTATCTTAGGAGCAATAGCATGATTCCTGACATGAAGGAACAAAGCAGTGTCATCCAAATGTGGTCTTACCTTTTATGTGTGACAGCTTGGAGCGCGGCCTCCCTAGGTTGTGCCATCCCAAATCTTTGCTGGTATAATGACCATTCTTCTTGTTGCGTGGCCCTTCTAGAGCAGGGATGTGGGGTGTAAGGATGCTTTCAGTTACTGGTATGCAAATACCTGCAAGGAAAAGGTGATCACTCAAAGATCTGAATAAGAGGAAAAGCAACACAGAGACATACACTGACCAGGATCAGGACCGTGAAAGCACTAGGACTTGGCCTCAGTGATGCTCAGCTCTAATCACACATTTGTCTCTGATTCCTGGCACTTAACTTTACCACAGCTCTGCTTCATTCACTGTCAGACAGTCTCACTGTCACTCTGGCTTTATGGTCTGAGCACCTGGAGACTTCCTTGTAGACACCTCTCTCCAGTCTCCAGAGGAGAGTGTGCAAATGCAAACAGTATGGTTATAACCCTCCCCAGGGAGAGTAGATCAAGGATTCATCAAGTCTCCTTTTCTTCCTTAAAATATAACTTCTGTGCAGTCTTCCAGTGAATCAAACCACATTGAATGTAGAGCTGTGATTTCAGGCAGCAGCAGCATTTTTGGGTTTCCCCACCACAAAATGTGAAAAAGTTGGGTAGTACACAAGCCCTAAACATAGAAACACTATTAAAAAAAATTAGGTGCTGTGGAATGAAGTAGAAAATTTTTCTTGGTTTAGAAAAAGAAGCGGTGTCACCCAGAAAAAAAAAACCTGAAATACTGTTGCTGGGAACATGTGGAGAAATAGATGCTATCAAAATGCTGCTTTTACAAAGGAAACCCAAGAAATGACTGATATACCATTGTTGCAGCGATTCCCAGGGCAGCACATGCCATCTCTGTGGCAGCGCTTCTTCTTCCGCCGGCACACCATACATGCAGACGTTGCTTGATGAGGACTGTGACAGTATCGCCCAACTTCACATTCCTTGTCATTAGTACAAGGATAGGCCTGGTGGGTAAAAGAAAGATTTACAGTCAAGCAGTCCTTTGAGCAATGAATGTATACAATCAGCCAACCAACCAAAAAAACAACCAAGAAAGATCTGCAAAAAAAACCCCAAAAAAGCTCTGCAAAAAAACAAGCGAGCAAACAAAAAACAAGAAAACAAACTACCACCAAACAAACCTGCAAACAAATAAAGAAACTGATAGTTGAGATAACAATTCATGGGAGCTGGGAGACACAGCTAGGGATGCTTCTCTGCAGCCACAGAGCACCCCTTAAGCTCACACTACTGCTGGTCAACAGCTTAAAGAATAAGGGAGATACAACCAGCTCATGTGTGGTTTCATCTCTCCTTGCCTCAAACATATGTTGGCACATGAGATCTTGTATTTTTGTGGATTCAGGCCTCTGATTCATGGACAAGAGCTTTAAACTCCACAATGAAGAATCAATAGAACCACAAAAGTTAGTAAATACACTGAAACACACCCTCCATTAGGTAACATTTTGTTTTAAACTCCACAGAGGCATTTTTCCTTTGACAGTTTTCAAACACATTGATTGGTAATAAGTTCACTGTTGTCACAGTGAATATCTGCATCACATTGGTACAAATGTCTTTGCAACTGAATTGTTCACCACTGGCCTACAGCAGTGGGACTCCTTGGAAGTGAACAAACATCACTGGTCAGCCTTTCTCTTTGATAACCCTTACTTTGCTTATGGTCTTAGTATAGTCCTTGCCCCCTGCTACACACCACTCTATGCTATGCAGCATGGAACATCTTATAGAGCACAAAATGCCTTGTATGTGTAATTCCCTGCAAGCAGATACACATGTATACAATTCTTCCATATTCACCAAAACCAGCATTAACTTACAGGAAAACTGACAACACAAAAAACAAACAAAAGAACCCCCCCCCCAAAAGAAAACAAAACCCCAACCCCCCCAAAAAAAGAAAACCCACCAAAAAACCCCCCAAAAAACAAACCAAAACAAACCCCCCCCCCCCAAAATAAAAAAACAACAAAAACCAAAACAACAAAAAAATCCTGAAGAGGTGAAAGTACTGCATTCTCCCATAAAGACAGATAAAGAAAAGTTTGTTCCTACAAAAGGGAAAGACATGATGATTGAAGGAGATGTAACAACACACACTGCCACATTCCAGAATCCCTTCTGCTGACTCCCACACAGCTCTAACTATGCTGTCTGAATCTAATTTGACTGCCTGTTAAATTAATCATAGATTTTTTTTTCCATTCCTCAAAATTATACTTAAGGAATTTGTTTGGATAAAAAAGATGGCAATAAATTTTGAGCACTTCCTGGAAAATTATGTTTACACTTTTTCAACTAATTTTATCCAGTATTTTGAATAAATCAAACTATTGCTTTTACTGTTTCCAAAATGATTCTTGCAATTAATTGTTCACCCCAAACAAAAAGCTCAACTGACTAATTTTCAATGTAGGGTGATTACTTTTCTAATAATAATATCTTAAATCAAGGTTTGATTTTATTGTTCTCAGAAAAGAAAAACTTTGAGGCCATTGAGAATTTGTTTTGAAAATTGTTCTTTCAAATGGAGAAACTCTTGTTTCTCTATCTTCATGCCATTCAGTTGAGAATCACAGAAGAAACAAGAGGTTTGATAAGAAAACCAAACAAGTTTCTCTAGTGTCAGTAGTGGAAGGGTAAACCAAGCCATTTCCCATGTGACTTCATGAGTTGCTTTCTTTGTTAAAATTTACTTTACAGTACCAAAAGTCCTGGCTGGGTATTTCCGAAGTGCTGTTGCCTCTTGCCTCATTACTTCTGCCCTCTGAATATGTGTCTTTGAGAATTATTCCAGGGTGCAGCTGTTTGGAGTGATCTGAAGTATGTGTAAATCTTTCTCCCTTAAGAACAAATATCCTCAAGAGGATGAACATCAAAGAAGGCCAGATCTCGTAAGCTAGGAGTATCAATAAAAGACAAGCTCTCACCTTTCTGGTACTCTTAAGGCATAAGCAGATTCTACCTATTCTAGCAAAGCAGAACTAGAGCACTCTTCCCTCAATCTCATCATTCCTTTCCCTAATTTTTCCAGAAAGAAATAAGTAAAACTGACTCACAATTTATAATACAGTTACCATAAAAGTAAGACTTCCCTTATTCAAAAGATACCTTACTAACCTAAGTATCTTACAATGCAAAAAAAAAAAAAAAAGGATTTTATGTAGACTTGTGCATGGTTATATTGAGCTTGGAAAATACTAACTCTGCTAACTGGGGAAAATGCAAATAAAAAACAGATGGACTAGCTAAAACCTGGAGATGAAGGCATTTTAGACCCTTGTCTGTCATCAAGACCTTCATAACCACATCTTTTTTCCAATATGGTCATGTGGTATACACCTGCAACTTGTCAGCAAGAAGCCTACTTGCAGTTTTATTTTGGTTCCTCAAATAGCTTTTTAAAAAGAGAGTTCCCTGATCCTTAATGGTGCTAATGAATACTCTTGCATACCATATCTAGCAATTGTTTTACTTTTGGCTTTTAAGCTGAGTGACGTGCAAAAGATATTTTAAGATATGCATCTAATTGTCAACTCTAAGCTCTGGCTTTAAGAATGGTAAAAGTAACAAAGGACAACTTGATATTAAAAATTGCTAAGAAAAGCAACACAACCCAACCTTTATACCAAATCTAGAGACCACTCCTAAATAAAGATGATACCTTTTAAATTAAAACATAAGTCAAAATACTGACCTACCTAAGGCAAATTACCACAGCACATAAAAAAAAAATTGTTTTGCATGTAGCTCAGACAACTAGCAAGTCCATTCAAAACCCCAAAAGATCAGGTGCCAGCCAGCTACCTGAAAAACCCTCTTGCAAATGCCTGATGCCATCAACTGCCTTGATCTACCAAAACCACCATCCGTTGCTAGCCTAGCTATCAATCACAGGGAGCTTGAAACAAAAATACCTACATAGCCTTGTGTCTCTTTCCTGCATTCCAACATTCATTGGAATAATTTCTGCTCCCAGCAAAGTAAATTCTACTGCTGGGTAGCATTCATTATTAAAACACAAAAATAAAATAAAATAGTGTGTCCATTGGCTTGACTAACAGAACGGAAAATGCACCCATAATTTTCTTATTGTTGGCAGTTGCTGAGCCAATCTAGGTATACTTGTTTTTTATATGTAAAGATAAAGACAACATACTTGCAAAAACGTACATGTCAACAATTGTCTATGCATAAGTCAAGGTTTTCAAAATCTCCTACACAGTGCTTGGAACATAGTCTTTACATTTAGAGAATTGCAGAGAACATTTCCTATATAGAACACAAAGACACAGATCAGTCCCAGATGGAGAGGGGAAAAGCAAGCTGTAAACCAGCTCTATTTCCCCAGCAATGATAACTAATTTTATAAGGCACATCATTCCTTCACATACATCAGCTATACATATCATTTTCTAGTTGTAAATCTCTATCCACTAAACACAGCTTTGATATCATGGGAAACCAGATGAAACTGAGATAAAATATGTAGCACTCCCTGAAGCTGCATTTAAACAGTCTTAATTAATTTTTTTATCCCAGATTACAGGCAATCAAGTCACCCATAGCATGACATAAACTAGATTTGCCTGTGATAATGAGTCACATTTTCAGAATGTGTTGTCTGATCAAGAGCATTGTTTACTGACATGTTTTTTCCTCAAGCATTCCAATTACTTCTGTATCCTTGTAGAAGAGATACAGAATGCTTGTCCAAAAAACGTACAGCAAAGATGTACTGTGTTTTTTTCAATATTGGAGGATTCAGACTAGGTATTGAAATGGGTGCTGCTCATGCTGTGCCAAGATGTTGCCTATATCAGTCCACCAAGACTAACCTTTGTCAATCACGTCACAGCAAAATGGAAAAGTTAAACTTCTCTTTTTGAGAGAGAGAACATAAATCTCCCTTCCTTCCCTTCCTGAATCTATATTCAAAATTCCAAGACTGCATGACAGAAATACTCAAGGAAAGTGATGTAGCTGACAGAGGAGAGAAAAGTTGAGGATTTTTACAATTGAACAAGTCCTTCCAGGCTACTGAAGATCTTCTTTTTAACTTTGCAGGAAGGCTGAATAAGGAACTGACTGTATTGATTTTGTGACTAAGTGGGTAATGTCATTCCCACGATTTGAGAAGCGTGCAGCAGTGAGGTTTATGTCTATGTTTGTCTTCCCCTTTTGATAGAGGTGATCTCATTTAGCACCTTTGTTCAGTGCAATGAGGTTTTCTTCATATTTTTGCTAGAGTCATTTGCTATCACACATATGAACCACAGAGTTTCACTGACAGCTGTAGCAATACTAAGTGGTGAGACTATTGTGCTAAGTCAAATAGTTTGAGTCTCTCTGTCTGGCGCTATAAAATATAATGAAGAAGCACTTGAGGGGGAGAGTAAGACAGACGTAATGTGCTGAAGGGTGAGGAGACTGATGGTCGACATACTTTACTGAGCTTTGGGAGATAAGGCCTTGAATTTCAGCATAGCCTTCAGCAAATATTTGAAGACAGTATTCCTGGCCAGTGTCTTAGTCACCAGGATCTCATTTGTTCATATTATGAAGCCTCACTTTTACGCTGAAGCTACTCCATGCTGTAGTAGCAAACTATGTCAGTGGAAGGCAGCAAGAGCCACTGGCATTTTTACCTAGGCTGTGTTATCGCTTACCTAGCACATGCAGTCCTAGACACTGCTGGCTTCAGAACCACCTCGAACATTAAGAGGAAGGAGCTGTGCCTAAATAAGTGTTTAGGTGGAACAGATACCAGAAGTGACTCCCCCAGAAGCATTTAACTTGCTTTTTTTTGAACACATCATACAGTCCAAGTCCAGAGTCCGTCCTGGCAGGAGATCATGGCTGCTACCACTCCCAGCAGAAGACACAGTGTGGAGTTTGTGCATTAGCCTTTTACTGTGGATGCAGAGCAGCACTCAGTAAG